CGGGGTACTTCTAACTTCGAAGCTCTCATCTTTGCAATAAAAGCTGATATTAAGTACAATAATTAATCATATTGAGAAATCAAGTCCTGAACTAATGTAAAAGGACAGAAAAGGTGGAGCTTCTTAAATTAGTATCACCACAAGCACAGTTCTTCAATGCCTTTAACATTTTAGTACTTCTATTGCTGAAAGAAATACTTATTTTATCCCTTCTCATGAATTAGTAATATTTTAGATTTTCAGTAACACCTGAAACACATTTTCGACTTCAGAATGAACATCAACATAATTTTTCTGTTTTAAACACTGTTTTTCAAATTGTACATAGTTTTTTGTCTGCTTGCTATTTTTAATGAAGACCCATTAAGAGAGAATTATGTTGAAGTCTTAGAAACAAGCATAGGATGTTTTTATAGAGATATTTCCAAAGAAAAACTGACTCTGTTCTGTTCTGTCTTCTGTAGCATGCAGTGATTTTGAAAAGGAAAGATCATGAGAAAGATGATAATGTGAGTTCCTGAAACTGTTTTCTCCAAATAAATTTGTAAATAAAAGCACTGATATACATGATGGTTCCAACTCTCTTCTCTCTGCAAGTTCACAATTCTTGTTATGTTGCTACAGATCTACAGTCACTCCATGGGCCTGAACCAATGCCCGCTTTCTCTTCATGTAACAGAGCAGAGATAGCACTGATCGTTCAAATTTTAATGTTCTGAGGGCACTAAATGTCAAAGAAAATATTGACAAAGGCATCGGTAAACATTGCAAAGTTCCTTTCTCAGCCTCACACTGGAATTGGAGCTTTATATCCTCAGCTCCTGGAGCATGGGTTTACATGGTGCTTTGAGTCCTGCAGTCCTATAAAACCAGACCACCTTCTCCTTTCTCTATTTTTATGGCTCCACAGAAGCCTCTCTCTTCCCTTAAAAATTCCTACTCCCAGGAGATACTGAGTTAATGGAAGTCAGTGAGTTAATGATGGCATAAAACGCTTTGAGTAGACAACCATCCTTCATTTTCTGCCCTTCTCCTGCTTGTCCTGGTTGAGACCCTTGTGCTCCAGCCACCTCAGCATCTACAAAGTGCTTCAAGCACAGTCTGGGGGCTCAGTCTTCCCAGCTTTTCTCTTCCATGGGTGTGACATGAGGGGGATTCACAAAGAGCCACAAAATGAAAGAAGCCATAAACGGTGGCTTTTTCATAAGGCAGGATGAAGGAGCTGTGAAGAAAGGCAAGGTTTGCCATGCACTGAGCCCCATTTGGGGCCTACAGTGGAGACACAATCATTGACAAGAAAAGGTAGCTGAGGCTGCCATGGGCTTGTTGTAAGTAATAAGAGTTTGCCTAAGGGAAAATTGTTTTTCCTGAGAATAAATGTCTCTATTCTTGAAAACACACAAAAAGGATGAAGTTGGTGCATCTCTGCAGAGACACCTCATGCTCAAATCTAACCAGCTTCTACAAGCTGTTCAGCTCAACAGTACATTTGACTGAACAGCATTGATTATACATGTGGAACACTCAAAAAAAAAAACCCAAACACCATACCTGGCAACAGTCTCTCTGTGTTCATTAACAATACTGCATTAGCAGATGGCTTCATGTGGCTTAGCATATGGAAATGATAGCTTTCAGGACAGAGGAAGCACAGCATAAATACCATGCATCACTTTCAGAAAAAGGGTTTTCAAAACTCCAGCAATATTATAAAAATAAGAATGAAGCTTCATATGCAGTTAAATACAAATAACGGGACTTAAGCATTTACTGTACAATAATTCCTGATAGTGCTTTGCAGAACTGAATTTATTTACAACATTCTGTAAAGAGCAAATGCCATTTCACTCAAAGCTAGATGCATGAAGGAAAATAGAGCAAACAGAGATGCTAATTTAAGCTAAATACTGTCATATCCAATGTCAAGAGTTAAGTGGCTTACAACCATTCATAAAATTCTTATTTTGGCCAAGTTTATTTTTTCAATTACAGTACCAAAGTCAAGAGGCCAGTTTTTTTAAGAAGGAAGAAGTGGCAGCTGTTTCCCATAGGTGGATTGTTTAGGTGCCTATACGTAGATTTGCAGAGCAGCCTCAGGCAGACTTTCATTACAAGCTCAGTCAGTACTTTCGTTTCATTTATACAGAAGCAGCAGAATCCAGTATAAAATAATTACTTTACAGTTATGCTTTTAAACAATAGGCTGCAATCTTTTTTTATATTCCAATCATCTTTCACACCCAAATCTGCTTTTGACAGTAGCTGGGAATGAAATGATCCTGTTTTACAGTGTTACTAACCATAACACAATTGCACCCTGCATGGCCTCTGACACGCTTGATCCTCCTGCAGCTTTTGCCTACCAGAGGGAACAACCCCAAACTTAAGATACTTGAAAAACAAGATAAATAACAACTTTATTCCTAACTCTGTCCATTTTTATTACTTCTTCAATTTATCACATACTTCATCTATTAACTTCCACAAATTGGTAATGAGGAGTTTTGTAATGCCTCCTCATGTTGGGCATTGAGATACCATGGGCATACACACCATCATGTGTAACAGCGTGTTAACACACTGAAGGCAGCAGGCATGAAATAATAAAGCAATGGGACCATTCACTTTGAGGCATTAGGCAGCCTCTTAATGCCTCAATCTGAGGCATTAGGCAAGTCTCCATTTCGTAAAGCTCTGCCACTGCAACCGCTCTGAGGAGGTAAGGGAGGAGGACGTGCCAGCGGTGTCAGCACGGCAGCAGCACCAGCACTACTGACCCAGAAGGAAAGCCCTCCCAAGGGAGATTTCCTCCAGTCACTTCACAGAGTCCTAGTCCACGTATCGAACACAAAAAGCAACAAAGCAGCAGCCGATCAGTGCCACTGTAGATGCCGAAATCACGGTGACCACGCTGCCAGCAACACTAACCAAGAGCCCCAGGCCCACGCCGAGAATGATCTGGGCCAGCTGGACCATGCAGGTGAGAGCGGCACAGTCAATGCCCTTCCCTCGCCTGTGCTCTCCAGCTTGGTCCCCATCCTGCAGCTTCAGGCTCTGCAAATAAGCACAAAACAAAACCCAGTGAAATGAACTTGCAGCTCCAGACAATGCACCGTCATGACCCCCAGGTGCAGCAAGGCAGGCCGATGGCTCTCTGGTTCCCTTCCATTTTTCCTGCTTGTCCCACAGAGGTTATGGAATTCACACAGAGATTTTACAAGTGATAATGAGTTTTCCAAACTCCCCCCGAATTGTCCCCTTTCTCCCATCTGCAATTTTCCCCTCTATGCCTTCTCTTGAGGAAAGAATTGCAACCTGATTAGAAAAATTAGCTGTTTCCTTCAAGTTCAGGTCAGTTTGAGCTCTGGAAAACTGGCATTTCACAGTGCAGGACACCTCATCATGGGCAATTCAGCTCCAACTCTCATGGTTGAAGGAGAGCCTCAAAGGGATGTTGAGTCATACTATGTCCTGTCCCGTCATGTCCCCCTCCCCCCCATATCACAATTCATTATAATGGAGCAGTGTGCTCTGAAGTACTAAAATCTAAATGTAATGCTTTTAGTGCTGGGGGAAAAAAAAAATCTGAAAAAAATGCCCATGCTAGGATTCTTCTACACTACCGAAGACCATTATTAACTACTGATTATCTGTATATCTGCTATGAGATACATGGCAGAGGGAAAGGCTTCATTTATTATATACAAGAATCTTGTATATAAGTACTCTGTGAGAGTGGATGATCAGTGGAACAGGTTGACCAGAAGGGTTGTAGAGTCTCCATCGTTGGAAATATTCAAACCAGGCTGGACATGACGCTGGGCAACCTGCTCCAGGTGGCCCTGCTTGAGGAGGGGGGTTGGACTACATGATCTCTGGAGGTCCCTTCTAAGCTCAGCTGCTCTGTGATTCCCTCCAGGAAGGATCTATTCTGTTTTGTTGAGAAATTAGGTGATAGTTTACATACAGATTGTTCTTCTTGCGTAGGCTGTTGAGTTAAGAAGGTTGTGTTGTAACAAATGAGAGGTTTCTATGCTGTAGGCTAGTTGTGCTGCTGTCTTCTGGTATCCAAACACTTTTCGGCCATTAAGATGCTTTTTGTTTTTCGCAAGACCTATTTATTACATTACCTTTGAGCTGTTACCACACAAAGCTCAAAAGTACTGGAGTCAAACAGACTCTTCCTAATCCAGTAGACAAAATTGAATTTAGATCCTAGGGAAGAGCAGCACAGAACAGGAGTTGAAATGGCAGCATTTTAAAACACAGCACATGATTTTGGTCAAATGCATAGTGATGAAAATGTCTGCTCTTTGTCTGGAATGATACAGTCCTCTCACCTGAAGTATTTCCAATTTCAGACTTTTTTTTTTTTTTTTGGAATTATGTCTATTTTTCTGGGCTGTGCCCAGTGTTCCTATGTGCTAGTAGTTCTGACCACAATTATACAAATGTGTAAAGGAATGCGATCTTGCACTTGATGTTTCCTTTTTATTTTTTCTATCTTGTACATTACAGAAGATTTGAGATAAACCTAGTTCTGTTAATATCAGATCTAACATAGAACTGTATTATCATTTAACATCTGGCATAGGAAGTACCATACACCAAACAAGAAAAAATCGTTTGTCTTACAAGTAACATTTGAATTTAATAGCCTATTAAATATGAAGTCCATGCACAGTCCAGCATATTTTATTTCACTTCTGTGTGGGAACAGCTCTGAATCACAGCTAGACTGCAGTTTTTTCTTTATTCCCTCTCTCTCAGTTGGCTGGCCTGAGGTTAGGACTGTGGCCTCACCCTAGACTGGGTTCATTCCCTGTGCTTTGTTATATCTTTCTAAAACTCTTAATCATGATCATTCTCTGTTGGAAGGAACTGGGTAATTAACTGAAAAATCAGTTATCAGATCTATGAAATATTTAACCACACTGAGACTCCTCTTAGGATTTAATAGCATAATTAGGAGTTTTCTTGTATTCATCATTCAGATGGTGATGCTTAGAAGTGGTACAGAACAGCAGGACAGGTTCTCAAGGACTTGATCTAGATCTGTGCTGGCCTCAACTATGCTTCTATGTTGTTTTTCAATGGTTCAGCATTTCCTTTATTAATTTCTTCAAATATCCCCAGATATCATGAGAACTTTTCCCAAATCCTCCCAACTTTCCTTAATCCTTCTTGTTTCCAGCTCTCTCACTAACGTTAGAGACTTGAGAGAACTTTTCCACTAAAGAGCTCAACACTTTATAAGACATGAAGATCCTGCTGTGTCCAATAACATGATATAAGGAATGCAAGCTTTTCCAGATTTTCCCTGGAAACAGGATTTAATGCTGTGAAGGACCAAAAAAAAACCCCAGACATTTAGAAAGATGATGTGAATGTGGCGTATAATTTAATACTGAACTATATAAAACTGTTTGTACTTGAATTTTGTATCTTTAATATTTTTGTTACACTTCGAAGTTAACTAAAAATTCTGCCAGCCTTTACAGTGTGGTTATCAACCTTGGAACTCAGAAGTCAAGTCCTTGGCTAATACAGCTGGAAGGAAGGATAGAAGGAAGGTGGCACTTGAAGGCAACAGAAAGTGGAGCCCTGGTATCTGCTTACTGCCTGAACACATACTGTGATGGGCTTTGTTTCAGCTGTGATGATAAATAACTATTTGCCTTACTGCAGGACTGTTTGGAGAGATTGGAGCTGGCACCTTAACTCTCTCTGTCAGAAACCTTCCATTCATAACATGTCATCATAAATAGTTTGAAATTAAAATTAAAAGCTGCTCACCAGTTCTATCCAGTTTTATCCCCACATAGACTAAACTGACCCAGACAGGTATAAACGTACCCTTAGACATTGAACTCACCTCTTCTTCCCTGTGATACTCCGCAATGAGGTGGAACGGCACTGTGTACAGTGTGCTGGACATGACACCAAAGAGGGAACATAGAGCCAGAGTGGAATAGACATTGGGAAACAAGCCAATTAATCCAGTACCCAATCCAAAAAGTAGGTATCCAGTGAAATAAAGTCCCTTTAATCCTATGTATGGCAGAATGATTTTCTGCAGGTCTGTGAAAAGAAAGTGAAAATGCTGATAAGACTAAAACAAAACAGGTCACATTTCATCAGGGAGTTCCTTGAAGGGGTTTTACTTTGTAAAATGCATCGAAGGAGAGAATTTTACTGACTTTGGAAGTTGCCTGAAATTACTGTAGGTAAAAACTTGCCAAAGAATACTTGCTCTCTCTGGAGATAGCCTTATTCTGGCATAGCCAGCTCCAGAGGAGAAGTAGTTAACAACCGTTCTGGAAGAACTGCCCTCATTGACAACCTCAGACATTTCCGCTGTTTGATTATAATGTGAACGTTTGGCATCAACCTCTGTCTGAGCTGAGAAAGGCGCTACAGAAATGCCTGTAGTTAAGCTCCAAAGGGGAAAAGATTTCCCTCAAGCCTCTTTTAGATGCTCAATTCAGCCCACAAAATGCTACTCATTTGAGTTTTCGGATCGCAAGTAGTTTTTTTAATACTTGGTAAGAGCTATGGTGAAATCTATCTGGGGAACTGGGCTAGCATATTTACACAAAATTTTGCAGAGCAAGGTTCGTGCTTCTGGCAAGAACCTCTGCTGCATTGTGAAAAAGTTATTTTATGAGGAATGCAGATGGGGGGAGGCCATCAGAGGGACCTTCGAGAAGCTATAGCTACAGCACCGCTCGGTGAGAGAGCATCTCAGAGTGATGCCTATGGCATGCATTTTAGTCTGGCATTTAGCTTCAGGATGATTTTCAGTGTTCAGGGTCAGTTCACGTGCAGAACAATGCCTTACTCCCAAAGTGACCCCTCATCACGTGGTCAGGAAGTGTTCACGTTAAGACACAAGTTTCTAACAATGCTGAGAATGTAACATTTCTTAGAGTTTTAATGTGGAAAAACCCCAGTTAATTTGGCATAGATTTATTTTTTAAACAATGGCAAACAGCGAACAGTTTAAACACTTCCAAAACACAGCATTGGAGTACATTCCTGGGTACTTACAGGAATAGGCTGATGAAGAAATTGCATTGATGCACAGCCCCCAGCATCCCACCTCAACTCCCGTTTTGTAGGTAAGGTAAAGCGTGGAGTTATGAGGTGCATAAGGACTACCCTGGTATACAACCTGAAAGACACCACAAAGGTCACAGAAGGCAAGGATGGACTGCATGTATGTAAAACCTCCTTCTTATGGGAACAGGGCCTCATCCCTGGTAGGGGAGATGCTTAGCACCCAAGAAATTTCTTAAGCAGTGCCCTAACCATCCCTTCACAGTTCTCCAGGTTTCACACTTGTTTCTCCCAGGTTCTCACATTCCAGGCTCCTCCTCATTTACTACCCTTTGCCTTTTCCTGGACTGCCCACTCTACACTGACTCGTTTGCTTTGGGTGCCTTATTTCCCACTCTCCTTCTCTCTCCACTTCTGCCTTCTTGCCT